CATCGCCAAATCGCACCATATTGAAAAAAATCCTCATTTTCAACCTTATAATAGCGCAAAAAAATTATTAAAAAATTACATAAGAAAGGGATAAGAATGTAATTTATTATGTAAAAAATTTAAAAATATTTTTCATTATAATTTCTGAATTATAAGCCTTTAAGTAAAAAGTAGTGTGATTTCAGCAACCTTACCTATTACTTTCATATTGTATACTAACTTAGTTAAGTTAAAGATATTCTGAAGGAATCAAATACAAAAAAATGCTGACATTTTATTTAAAAGAAGCTTTCATTGTTCTCGATCTATATTTACGTCTCGTCATACAATTGTCAAACATATAAAATGAATAACAAATAAAAGAACAGGATTTAGCAGATAATGAACTCGCCGAAAATTTACGAGTCCTCCAAGTATCATGAATCTGATTTTTTGATTTCACGCTCTTGCGCGTAAAGAACATCCACTCGTATTTGCGTTCGTAGTAATACTCAAGACAGATCTCTTATATAGGCGAATGTTCGAGAACTGTGCTTGCGCGCACATATAATGTCTCGTTTATTTATGAGCTACACGAATACATCTTTCTAGATTTTACAGCCAAAGGCCATCTTCGCCGCGCTACAGCAAACATCTTTGAATACTCGTTTCTTTCGAATGATGATGCCAATGTATTCACAGAATGTGCAAAATCTCTTTAACTTTCCAAAGCAGTAAATCGTATTTTGTACATTATACGTCGACCATCATATGAATTATGTATCTTCAACATTTTCTTCAAGCAATTTTCTTTAATACTTAAATAACTAACATTTATACAAAATTTTATTTACAACACAAAGGACGCGTTCCATTTAACATTCGCAACGCTCACGAACATCATTTTATCCTTGTTTAATATTTGAATAAGAATGAAATGATGCTCGCAAGTATTGCGAACGTTAAGTAAATTAACGCAAATATATACTTTAAGTCAATAAATAATTATTTAGATTCAGAACTTGGCTCTATATTAAAATTAACTGTCATAGTACATTGAAGTGTGTGTGTGTGTGTGTGTGTGAACATTCTATTATGAAATGGAAAACATATTTCTTGATAATACTTTTGAGATTTTCATGGATGTTTTTTTTTTCAAAGGTGCCAAAGAGTTTACGAATTATCACCGTGTCGTGATCTTTTACTAATGTCAAGGTTGGGTAGTAACTAGTTAAAATGTTAAAAGTTAAAAAAAGTTAAAAAGTTAATAACTTTTAACTTAACTTAGTTAATTTTAAATGCATTAAATTTTAATTTAACTAAATTATTTTTAAACGTTAACTTTTTAACTTTTTTTTTTAAGTTAAAAAATTTTTGTAATCTCTTTTAAATATCTTAGAAAAATAATAAGATATAAAACTAAGGGTATATATTCGTAATCTGATCATATTTTAAGTAATTCTTAAGTAATTTTTTAAGATACTAATACAGCCTTCTGATTGGTTTATGCGGTTATGCCTTAAAAAGATTAGGACATTATGATCTAAAAAATAATTTTTTTTTTAAATTAATTTTTTTTTAACTTAAATTAATTCAATATTGACTTAACTTCCGTTAAGTTAATTTTTTATTCCTTCAATTTTTAACTTAACTTTATTAATTTTGTAAAGCCATTAACTTTAACTTTATTCAGTTAAAAAAAAAACATTAACTTACCCAACTCTGACTAATGTCAAGATTTCGTGAATCTTGTCATTTATTTCATCAAAGTGAAGAACGAACTGATACTGTATCAGTGCCTTCTCGCCCTGATGAAATGAAGAAAAACTATTTCTTCTATAGAAATGAAAAATCAAAAAAGATTTAAAAAGATTTAAAAATAATAAAATAAGAAATAAAATAGATACCAATGAAATCTTAAAACTCTTATACGAAGTTTTGTTTGACGAATTAAAATATAATTTACTTATCTTCGGCGTATTGTTAAAGTCATAATTCCTAATTGAAAAAATTTACAATATTTAATTTATAATATTATGTACTGTAAAACAATTTCTCACCGTTATGCATTAGCGAGAAATTAAGATCTGTACGAAATGCTTTATCCAAGTGTGAATTTCATACTTTGTTGACCTATATTTATATTTACATACTTTAGCCCGCTTACTTTTTCCGACCGCGCGCCAGCAACAATTTTGGGACTTGGCCGATATGTTTACAGTTTGCCGTTTGTACTTTATCATAAATAGAATCGCGCGAAAGTGTTGGTTGGTCCGAATCCCATGGTTACGCGGGTTCCTCTCTCGCGTTCTCGCGAGAGAGAACGAGGGATTAAATTAATCTTCTTACTTCCCTCCTGCCTGATAATGACAAGAACAATTATTGGTTTTAACGGGCGGCTGGTCTAAATATCTGAGCAGAGAAGAGTTAAAAGAAAACTTTCCGTCGTCGCCCTGTAGGAAGTTTCGTGTGAACAAGTTTGTGCTTCATTGTGCCGTTGAATTTTTTTCAACACGCGAAACTTATCTACTTTTAAATCGAATCGTTATTATATGCTTTCTTTTTTTTTTTTTTTTTTTTGGTCGAATAATTCTAATAAAGAACTAATGGAGAACTATGATTTTAAAAAATCTATGGAAAAAGTGACCCGCTGTCGCGCATAATCCTCTTAGTAAAACTCCTTAAAGTAGCGCGTTGCACATTTTAATTGAAAAAAAAAACGGTAAGTGGTAAATCCTAGAGACCTGTCGCGATCAGACGAGTGGCACGGCTACGAGTCTCGACAATGAAATATCGCTTTATCGGTCGGTTCATAAATTCCACCTCTTTTTCGATGTTCTTGAAGAAGATTATTTCCTCCACTTCGCCTTTTGTTCGTTTAATACTATGGAGACCATATCAGCAACCGAGCACTTCTTATTTACAGATTTCCGGACAAATTTTTTTAACAATAACGTTTTATCTAATACATTTACATTTATAATACCTAATTTACTAAACTTCCTTTATGTTTAATGTTAGATAATTGAATTCTCTATCCAATTTTTACTAATTGTAAGAAAAAATTGACGTAACACTTATGAAAAAAGTTTTAACTTTAATAGCGAAAACATCTTTTTAATGTATTCTAATGCTTAATGCGATTTTGCTACTTTTAATGGATAAAATTTAATAAGTAAGAAAATAAAATGTTATAATCGATAATTTGAAATTTTTATTAACAAAAATTATTAATTCTCAAAGGATAAATGGGCAATTTATTGATATTATTAGATTAACTTTCTTTGTATGATATTTTCGATATTTCTTAATCAATATATTTTTCATTTTAAGAGTCACATAAAATATATGCTTACGTATATATATATATTTTTAATAATATTCATTGGAAAATTAGCATTCTTAATTTATAATCCAAATTTTAAGTTATAATATATATAATATTTATAATTTATATTGTATCTCTCTAATATTAAGTTGATAAAAATTCTTAGATTATTAACACTCATTAAAAATTTTATCTCAAATTTATCTCAATATCTTGATTAAAAGTATTTAATAATAATAAATTGCGAAGTTAATCATAACTTGCGTATTGCAAGAACTACATTTTAAATTATTCATTGATATTTAATATGATGCAGTTCACGCTAATTCACAAAAACCTGTTTGACTTATGCGTGTTTAAATTTATTCAATTCGATTTTTTTATTTTATGCGACTAAAGATTAAGAATTTATTCAACACAAAGAAAGAAAAAAACATGTAACAATATAATATAGGATTATAATATAAGCTGAAAACAGCAGACAAATCGACAGATATATCATCCTGTATCATGGCAGATAATTTTTTCTCCAAGCGATCTGCGCGATATGAGTTGTGATCGTTATCGATTTATGAGTAGCAGCATCCCTGGATATGCGCCGAACCCATCCCATAAATACCGAGTAGCGCGTAGCTTTTCGTTGTATCTGTCATAAATACGCATTTTATCTGCCGTGGGATTTCAAATGAAAAACAGTCGTCAAGAGCTCATGGGATTACTCGTAAAAGAGGCCGATGGTCGCAGAAGGGTTTACAACTCTAGCGCACTTTACATCCTTCAGTCGTGATTTTGCTGACCCAATGTATCTTCCCCATAAAAAAAAACTTTTTAGATAAAACAATGAAATTTGTAAGAGTTTTTGTAACTTTTTTATTTAAAAAAAATTTTTAAACTTTTTAATTAAAAAAAGTAGCTTGTAAAAGTAGCTTTTTTAGTAAGATTGTTTTGCTAAAGTTATATAAAAGGATATATTTACAATTTGTTAAAATTACATTATATTGAACAATTCTTTTTATATTGAACAATTCTAAAATACATGTCATTATTTATATATATTATTTGCAGTGTATTAATCTTTTTACATTCTGTACTATATTACGCTGAGTATTATTTATATTATTTGTTTAGTGACATATGTGCGATATTTTACTTTTGTTGAAATATCACCGAAGTATAACAGATAGGAAATCATGTTGCACCTTTAATTGATAAAATAAATGACATTTACAATTCTAGTAAAAAAATATCATGCATAAATTTATTTAAAAATTATTTGTTTATTATTATATTACAATATATAATGTATATACATATATGTGATATTAATTTTTTTTGTTAAAAAATACGATAAAATACGAATTAGATATTTATAAAATATACTTGTAAATATAAATTGGAAATTTGTGTAAATAAAAATTAAAATTTTAGAACTGAATAACGCAAAAAAAAATAACTTTTTTAAACAAGATAAAACAAAAATAATTGTGCGTTTAATACAATAATAATAATAATTATTGTTATATTTGATAATGCAAGCATCATATTATGTGAAATTTACGCTTTCTCTTCAATGAACAAAGTTCATTTCTTCATTTCACAAACTCAACTTTCAAGACGTGGAGTTTTGTGCTTTATAAACTTCAATGACGCTTTTCATTCTTTACGACAAATAGCAAAGCAGTATAAAACTTACATTTCAATTTACGTTCGAGAAAACGTTCTCGAAATATCCGAGTTCGCGGTGTGAGGTCTCATAAATCTCGCGCGACGAGAATCGACCTGATGCCGGGTGGCTCAAAGAAAATGAGTAAAGCCTCTCGAGCGCCCAGACGGCACGTGTCGAATTATTCATTTGTCGTCAGTCCCAAGCTGCACCTGTGGAGAAAGCCTTTATCGTTTCACGTAATTCAAGCCAATGTACTTAATAGAAACTATTGGCAACAACAAACGAAATGAGAGAAACGCCTAAACAGAAAGAAATTTTACGCTTCGTTAATCCTTCATGTAATTATGTGATTTCAAAATAAAATTGAATCTTTATCTTTATTATAGTAGATTACGGGATAAAAGTAGTTAATCATAAACATATTTGTAATTGTTGATTTTAACGGAATAAAAATTTATATGAAATTGCTTCTTAATATTAATCTATTTTTTATACATATATTGTTTATAAAAAATCTTCTTCGTAAAACTTTACTTTTATTTGTCCGATGTATATATTTGTAACATAAAAGTCAAAATTTTAATACCTAAATTTATATCTATTCATATCTTTATGTGTTTATCTTACCAAGAGAAAAAGCTGAAACGTCTGATATTGATAATACAATTTTTTATTGGAATTTTAAAAATGTTAAATTAATTTTATCGAGGAAATGTTTGACTGTTCTCTTCTATATTTAATGACTTTATCTAAAACAAAAAGATCGCGCTCCTAGAATCGCCACAGATTTTGCGATCAACAATGCGAGTTTCGGAATATTTCAGCATGTTAAAGCAAGAACTTATTGTTACGAAGTGAAAAGCGGCTTTCAAGGAGCAAGATACAGTATATTAACTATAATGTTGCACGCCAAATTGGTTAAGGTACGTAAGGATCTGCCGGCATGTGTAATTTCACAGGAGTTACTTAACAGATGGAAATTCGTACCTGAAAATTCCACGTTACACCTGTTCACTCTTCCAAAATTGCGAATTTTACTTAATAATATTCAAGTATACTGACATTGAATAATGTATAAAATATGTCTAGAGCAGAAGCTTAAGATATTTTCTCTTTCTTTTATTTAATAAAATTTTTTAAAGCTTTTATTTTACAGGACATGCTTTCATTGTAAGTATACGAAATTTAATTCTTCAGCTTCTGAACGAAATCCAAAAATTGAAAACTTTAGAAGCATATATATAGATATTTATATAAAAATGTATGTACATATCTATATACAACTAATCAGAAAAGTATAGTGTTACTTTTACAAATGCTTAAAAAGAAAGAATAATATTATTAATCTCTAAAACTGGGTCATTGTAAGTAGGTTAAGGAAGGATATACACATACTAGAAAGGTCAAAAAGATTTTTACAATTTTTTGTTTTAGATAAACTATGGAAAAACGACGATTATCATAAACCATTATTGTTATTAGTGTCAACAATTGTGACGCACTATTTGTTAATATCTTTAATTAAAAATTTTATGTAAAACTCATTAATACACGAGTAAAATATTGTGATTAAATCTCTGTTTGAATAAAGTTAATAATTTTCGCAAAACAAAATTCGTAAAAATATCTTTTTATATTTTTTTATATTTTTTTGGATATCCTCTCTTTTAAGACATAATCTATATAATATTATAGATATGTACTTTTATATTTTAACATGCAGAAAAGAATATTGCGTAAATACAGTAAATAATATAATACGAAATGAAAACATTTTCAATATAAATTCATTATAAAAGATATGCATGTG